TGTACAGCAATTGACTGCTTTAAAAAAAAAAACTTTGTTAAAAATTATATTTAATTTGAAAATCCAGAGAAGTCAGGAAAATAATAAATGGACATGGAGAGGGGGAAAGCCTCCTGGGAGGGGGGGTAGAATGCAGTGTTATTAAAGGGGAAAGGGGAATAATAAAGTAGGAAAGGTTAAATGGGATAGGGAATGGGAGGGCAAGTGTAGCCTGAAAATTACTCATTCCTCCAAAAAGAATGGGTGACTTGCGGGGCACCCTGGGAAAAGGGTCAGGAAAATAATAAATGGACATGGAGAGGGGGAAAGCCTCCTGGGAGGGGGGGTAGAATGCAGTGTTATTAAAGGGGAAAGGGGAATAATAAAGTAGGAAAGGTTAAATGGGATAGGGAATGGGAGGGCAAGTGTAGCCTGAAAATTACTCATTCCTCCAAAAAGAATGGGTGACTTGCGGGGCACCCTGGGAAAAGGGGTGGAGCCTTGGCCATATTTGGAACTCTTGTGCAGCCCCAGGGAGAACGGCATGGGGCTTGAATAGCACAGGGGTTATAAGAAGCCAGTTCTTTGTAAGTCATCCCCTCCCAAATGTCATATAAACTATGCAAAATTCAAATAGAACTGTGTTATGTTGGTTTTATTAACCAGCATCAGAACCAGGACACCCAGTGACGGAGAGCCAGTCTCCCAGAGGGCAGGAAGGGGAAAATTCAGTGAAACGGCAAGACAGAGGAAGAAACATAGGGAAGGATAAGTAATACTAACAGCCTTTAGAAAAAGCCATATGGAAACCTACATTATAAAAAGATTAAAAGGAGTTACCTTATAACAGTGGAATAGTGCCCCTACTAGGCACCATAGGCTAACAAGATAAAACACCAATGCCAGGAATGACTCCTTCTCTTGAAGTTGTTGACCATGGGCTCCACAGACCCTCAAATACTATTGGCCATTGCCCCTGCTCTTGGTTATCCACCAGAATTTGACAGTAAGAACCTATTGCTGAAGACACTACATACATGAGCTATAGAACAAATAAGGAGAAATCAAGCTGGTGCTGACTTCAGAGCCTCATCTCTACTGGCTAGTGTTTATAGTGCTGGAAGATGCTATGCATGCCTGAAGAAAAAATAAATTATCAACCTTACCCAACTGTGAATCCTGTAGACTACAACACCTGGCCTGGCAAGATATGCCCACCTGTGCAATATTGGTATGAATATTATGGGAGTAACCAACCACTCTCTAATTGGACCTAATTTTCCTTATAGGAGAGGGCCCATTGATAGCAGGCTTAGAAGCCTGAGGCCAGACAGGTCACAGGACATAGGGAAGAACCTAATAGTAGTTTTCAACTAAATAATTATATTAAACTGACTCTTAATGACTTTGTTATACCTATAGATTGATGCATCTCTCAACTTTCACCAGAGAAGCTTCTTTATGCAACAGATTGTCATTAACACAGAGAGCCACAATTGGCCAATGTGAAAAGAACAAGAGGCTGCAGACTGCATATCCTTGAATAGGACACGAATATCAAACTTCTGCCTCCCAAGGCATAGGAATCATTGTGGAATGGCAGGGGGTAGGGGTGGGATAGAAAGATGGTAAGAGTCAGAGGGGGTGGGGTGGACATAAGGAAATAGAGTTTTCCAGACAGCTGGTCAGTTACTCATGAACTCACAGCAATGGTGACAGTGTGTACAAGTCCTATGCAAGCAGCTCAAAACAAACAAAATCCCAGCATAGATATGGGGAAATGTAGGTAAGAAATCCCAACCTAATCCAAGGAACTTTGGGCAATCAATGGCTGCTGGGAGGGGCAGAGACAGTCTCTTTCAAGGATAAGACTCTTAGTAGGTTAACCTGGCTTCAGTGGATGGACCCACACTGAAGAACATTTAGTAATGTAAATTGTACTGTATAGACCTTACTACATATATAATACAGTACATTAAATTGGGTGGGGAGCCAGCAAGGGGAGGTGGAGATAGGGGAAGGGATCTAAATACCATCAAATGATATTGTATAAAAACTCAAAAATTCAATCAAAAATTTTTTAAACTTTATCTTAGAAAATTTCATAGAAGTATTGTATTTGTATTATTTCCATCCCTTCCAGTCTCCCTCCAACTCCTCCCATGCCCCCAACTCTCTCAATTTCTTGTCCTCTTATTGCTACATATACATACATTTATAAATATATATATATATATATATATATACACACATACACATATAAAATGCACTGAGTCCCACCTCAAGATGAAGAGCTACAGGCAATCAATGGATACTGAGGGAGGGCGATTCAGTTTTCTCCAGGGACTAGTTCCCTGAGAGGGTATCTAATGCTAACTAGGTAGCCCTAAGACACAGGTACACAGGAGCACCACTAAATAGACTCCATTGCTTTTTGAGAACTGTCTCCTTTGTAAAAGCTAAAAGGAAATCAAAGTCAGACTGATATGGTATAAAATAATGACCAAGAGAATTTTAAAGATTATTGACATTCTGATTTTTAAAAATCACATTATCATCAGAAACTTTGAAAAGATCCAGCAATAGTAAAATGTTTTTTTGCATCATTGATCTCATTCGTTGTGCATGTAGAACAGACTGGAAAATACCAACACTTAGATCATGTTCTCAGATCAGGTGTTGATTTGCTCTTAGGGATTTTGATTGAAGAAAATTGAATTTACTGTTCTGTATTTTATTATGTACAGCTGCACTGTTCTGGTTACACTACAAAACACTTTCAGTAAGTTAATTGTACTGTGTGTAAATTTTACAGCAAAATGTTTTTATAACAAATTAAACAATAAAGGCCAAAATAATCTACATTTATACTTTCTCTCTAAAGTTTGGGATCACTAGTGTGGTTTTTAATATAACAGGCAAAAAAGCACAAAAGACTTTGAAGGCTAATTGAAATGGCCACTAATTTGTTCATATATTTACTTGAAACCCACTACATTTAAACAAATGAAAAATTCTGCCAAGCGAATAACTACCAAACAACATTTTAGAATCATTAATAATATAATTTCTCTTTAAAAGATAATTAAAATACTAAAAATGTGCTTTCAAAACTACCTAGATAGTTGTAATGAAGTAATACTGTGTGCTGGCTTCCCCCCACACACACACACTAATCTTTGGAATCTAATCCTCAATGTGAAGATACTTGGAGATGGGCTTTGGGAGATATTTAGGGTTAAATGAGGTCATGAGGGTTGGGGCCCTCATAATGGTTTTAAAGCCTTTTGTAAGAAGAGAAATGCAAAAGTCAGTCAGTAGCTATGTGACTCCAGCATGCAAAAACCTTCATTTTATTCCCTTTCCAAATTCTCCAAACCTTACAGAACCTTTCAATGCCTAGAATGCTCTCTGTAGACCAGGCTGGCCTTGAATTCAGAGATCCACCTGTCTGTGCCTCCTGAGTGCTGAGATTAAAGGTGTGCATCACCACGCCCAGCCTATCACGTTATTTTTTAAAGAAAGCAATTCTAATAAGATATTAAATACAAAAGAACAAGCATTTGGCCTAGGGTGGTGGTGCCCTACCTTAATCCCAGCAAGCAGGTGGATTTCTGTGAGTTTAAGGTCAGCCTCGTCTACATAGCATGTTCCAGGCGAGCTCGAACTACAGGGAGACCCTCTCTCAAAAAACAGAGAACAAAACAAAACAAACAAGAAACACACAAAAACTGGCCCTCTGCAGGCCTGCAAACCAAGAGGCTCTAATCAGACTCGAATATCTACCCCTTGATCTTGGGCTCACTGCCACCAGAGCTGTGAGAAAATAAATTTCCAGTGTTTAAGCTACCAGTCAAGGCAGCCTGAGTTGAATAAAGCACCATGTAAATTATTTTAGAAATCGTAATAATTTTATTTTTTTTTTATCAGTTTCTGACCTAGCAGAATGATCCTTAATTAAAATGTCCTTAAGAAACACTTTTGATAACTCTCAATAAAATTACTTTGTGAAATTGGTTGATGATTTGGTTAATGTCGAATGATGTAGGTACTTTCAGGTAAGTTGCTCAGAGCAGTTGTAAGAACTACATTTATCATTGTATTTCAGATTTTTAAAAATATTTTTATTATTTTTATTTTTGTGTGTATGAGTGTATTACCTGCATGTGTAAGTACATACCTGCTGTGTATTATTTCAGAGTCTTAATTACAAATTTTATTTATAGTGATCTTTGATTAAAACAATGACTCATATTTTGTGCCTGTTAAGGGGAAACATGCCTTTCTTGTTAACAATGACGTCCCGAATTTACTAGTCACTGTCAGTTTTCCCCTTTATTTCAGTGAACTTTTCTTGGCAGCTTGTTTTTAAACATTCTTTATGTAGTGAATTTACTTCATTAATTCCTGCGACAAGGAGTTTTTGTTCACTTAATATTTAACTGTGAACAACATACACAGTGTGGTAAGGCACACCAACTTTTCTAAAATTTTTATCGTGATTCTCAAAAGTGCAAGCGAGGTCATCGCCTCTCCTTTTGTGTAATCGCACCATCAGTAGTTTAGAATATCACTGAAGCACAAGATGCTATGTGTACCCAAATAACGTTACTATCAGAAAACAATACAATATAATGTAGGAAAGAACACGAGTTAAAAGCTGAAGATGTGGGGCCTGAAGTAAGAGTTTTCCACTCTGGGTTCTCTTCATTCATGCAGTGTAAGGGGTTTGGAAAGGATCAAAATCCAAAACCTTCCGTGGTTCCACGAACTCCTCCTATTCGGGCAAAGATGCACCTTAGGATAAAACCTTCACCTAAACGGTGGGCTGCGGGGCCCGCAAAGGCAGCGCCTGCAGGGAAGGCGTCTACAGGTGCGGGCGCCTGTAGGGAGAGTCTCCCATTGGCTTTCTTCTGGTTGGGGCAGGGCCTCCGGGCTCTGGGTTGTGGGCTCAGCTCCCCGCCGCAGCCCAGGCCCCCTCCCGCGGAGAGCACGTTTCCAGGCAACGGCGGGCAGCGTCACTTCCTGCCATTTAAACTCCGGCCCCTCGCCTGCCCGGCTCCTCGCGGGATACCGGTGCTGTGAGGGGCTGCGCTCGTGCTTCCCGGCTCCGGGCGGCGCTGGTGGGTCCGAGCGGCGTCGAGGACCCGGGACCGCGGAGTACGCGCACCTGCTTCTGCGCGGCGGGCGGAGCGGCTCCCGGCGGGCGGGCGGCAGGGCCGCGGGCGGCGATGGCGGCGGCGGAGCCCGCGAGCTCTGCACAGCCGGAGCCGCAGGCCCAGGCCCAGCCCCCGCCACCGCCTGGGGCGCCGTCTTCGCAGCTGCAGTCGGGGCTCCCGGGCGGCAGCAGCCGGCACGAGAAAAGCCTGGGGCTGCTTACCACCAAGTTCGTGTCACTGCTGCAGGAGGCTCAGGACGGCGTCCTGGATCTCAAAGCGGTGAGCGGAGGCGGGGAAGAGCCAGGCGGGGCCGAGGCCTGCGGGAAGCTGCCCAGCACCAGGCCCGCGGCCGGCGTCGACCTGCCAGCGGAACTGGCTGCGCGAGCGGGGTCCACGGCCTGCACGCCCATCCTGACGCGGTACTCGGGCCGGGACAGACCGGGAAGCTCCTGGAGGGATGTGGGGCCTGGCCCGACCAGGAGAGGGGCCGGAAGGGATGAGGGTCGGAGACCGACCTGGAGGACTGGGGCCCTGGCCCGGCGGGATGGATGCCGGGCCTGCAGAGCGCCCATCTACGGGCCGCGCCGCGCGGCGCTGTCCACAAAGAACCATCCTTAGCGCGCCCGCTGAGACCGGAGGCCCTGGTCCCCGGGAATTCGTGCTTTGCCCTGAGCTCACCCACGTGATGGCCTTAATGAGCGGTTCTCCTTGGACCTTATTCCAGGTTAAGAACCTGAGCGTCACTTCTTCCGAATGAAGGAGAAAAATGTGAAAACTTTCCACACCTCTCCGTTAAGATAATAGTTTTTAAAGGGGGGAACTTTTCATAGCACACCTCCTTTCTTCGTCCTGAAGGTTTGGGAGGGAAATTGAGTTAGTTGGCTTAATTAGGCACCTTAGTTTTGTAACCTTGAGTTCTGCCGTCACCTGGAGAGGGGATGTTTTGTATTCTAACGAAGTGGTGTAATTGCTTAATAAGTTTCTCGCGTTTTATGAGAATGTGCGGCTTCGTTCTTTGCTGTGCTTCAGGTTTTTCAAACAGCGCGCATCTAAAGCTGTTAGGTCTTGGAGTGATTTAACCGCTCCTGGCAGGACTTGGAAGGATTCCACAGCGCAGGGGAAAAAGAGAATGTGATCACGTGAATTAAAATTAAGCCAGTGCACGGAGGTTAAAGGGGGGAAAAAGGCTTTAAAAACAAACACAACTATTAAGGAGTCTGCCGGCACAGCCCAGGTGACTCCTTCAGCCTGCTGCTCTGGGAGAATTCCTCCAGCACCTAGGGAGTTCCCCTCCATCTTCCCGGCTTGAGGAGGCAATTACCATCCTTGAGTCTGTGCACAAGGCCATGAAAATAGCATCTGACCAGGATCAAGCCTTCTGGGACTTCCTGCAAGTAAGGAAGGAAACTTGCAGGCCAATTCCTGGCTCCTGCTGGGAGTTCCTTTCTTGGGTAGCCCAGCAGGAGGCATGGGCCTTTGGGTTCCTGGGTGTAGCCACAGTGGGTGCCCCTTGTTATTTTGAAGTGTTACTCCTGGGACTTTTTTTCCACCCTAGGAAATTCCTTGTACTCTTTCCTCCACACCCTCCACTTCTGTCCCTAAAAGTGCTTTAATGGGCATCCGCAGTATTTAAATTGTAACCAGTTTGGTTTCCAGTTTCTCTGGCGGTAATGAGGTCATTAGAGAAACCCCCTGATGTTTCAAAGCACATATTGCAATCTGCTATTTAAAGTTAAATTCAGCTGTAGCTTGTGACTTACAGTATAAGAAATCTCGGAAAACTGGGGTGAAGTTTCCAGGTAAAACTGAAGTTTGAGGGCTTCTGGAAAAACTTGCCTCAGAACTCAGAATGTGACAGAACTCCACCCTTGCTAGACTTTTTCTGGCTTCATTTCACACAAGACAAGAAATCTCAGGCGTGGAATAGGAAAGCTTGATACTTCACAGTAGTATTCTTCCAGTTTTCCTGGGTATATCTGAAAATTTAATTTTTTTTCTGTAGTAATATGTATTATGTAATATGTAGTAATATGTATTAGTGATCTTTAGAAAAACTACATTTACACATATTTTTCCTATATACATTTTAATATAAAAATTTTTACACTGAAGTGTTGCTAGTGGTGTTTCTTATTGCAAATCATTGTGAAATATTATTAAGACTTTTTCTTTTGTTGAGACAGGGTTTCACTGTGTAGCCCTGGCTGGACTACAAGACTGGCCACTATTGCACAGAGATCCACCAGCCTCTGCCTCCTGAATGATGGGATTAAAGGCATGTGCCACCATGATCACCTTCATTAAGACATTTTTGATAATACATGAAGATGAACCAACACTGATAATTAAATTTTCTCTAATTTGAAATGAAGAACACTATCTTTTTCTTTTACTCTGAGGAAACATATTTCTGTGCAAGCTATTTCAGTTGGTGTGCTCGCAGTATGTGATCTGGCTGGGTGCTCTGTATTGTACCACGAAGTTCCCAGTGAAAGACATTTTGACATGACATATACCAAGAGGGAATAAGTGCGTGTGTGAGAAGAGAAAAAGTGAGAGAGTTAGTTAGTTCATGAATGTATAGGAACAAAAGGAAGTGTATGAAAAAGTCCAGCACCAGGCACTTTGGTAACTTGGAGGCGATAATAAATTATCTGATGTTGATGTTATTTTCAGGGCAACTAACCTGAAAGCTGGGTTGAACAATAGAGTTCATGTTCATGTAATCCCTTGAGGACATTGGGGTCAAAGAAGATAGATTAGGTACAGTGACAGGTGCACAATGAAAGCCAATTTTTTTTTTTTTTTTTTGCAGGGGATGGGGGAGATTTTTTTGGTTTTGGTGTTTGGTTTTTGAGACAGAGTCTCACTATATAGACTTGTCTGGCCTGGGACTTACCAAGTAGACCAGGATGGCCTTGAAGGCACAGAGGTCCATCTGTCTCTGGCTTCCAAGTACTGGGATTAAAGGTGTGAGCCACCATGCCAGGCTAGGAAACCCATTTCTTTGTATGCCAACCAAAATCAAAACATTAATTATATAAAGAACTTTAAAAGTATACAATTGGTGGAGGTAGGCAGTCTCTAGTTATTGTAGTTTATAGAGTTCAGAGGATTAATATAATTTTTCCTAGTTAAATAGACACTGTCTGGTACCTTCTTTTTTTTCTTTTGATTACTCTGATGACTTAAGAAAAATAAAAATAAAGTTCCATTTTAAAAGCTTATATAGTATTACAAATAAAATTGGAAAAAGATGTAAAGCTTATATATTTCAAAAATAGCATTACAGTAGCCGTCCTTTAGTAGTAGTCAAACACTGAAGATTTGTTTAGATGCAATCAGTTCCTGTAGTGTAAAGCACTGATGGGGACTGAAACACTTAGTATGTAAATGCTGCTTATTTCTGGGGGGCACCCTTTACCCTGATAGTAATTCTTTGGTATTTAATTTCATTGTTGATTTATGTCTGCTATAGATCCCTTACAAACTGAGTGGTCTCTCCCAGGAGTTCTGTTTTGCCCTCACCTTAAGCACTCTTATTTCTTCTCCACCTGTCAAAACATCATAATATTTCTAGTGCAAAAGATCATTTCTCTTCTCTCCCTCTCCTGTCCCCTCACTCCACCTTTTGTTGTGCAAGAGATTTAACCAAGAGTTTTACATATGCTTGGCAAGTTTTGTAGTTTCAGATTATTGTTTCATTTTTAAATACCGTTCTAGAATATCAGCTGTATGCACAAAGCCTTAAATGTGTATGCATTTTTTACTTTTAAATAATCAAGTGGAAATTAAAATTTTTCTTTTCTTGGCCGTTTTATCTACTCTATATGAGATCTTTAGAAGTTGTACTTGAATTGTATATTCAGTGAAAATATATAACTTCATTTATATATAGCAAATTTAAAGTCTTAAAATTACATTAAATGTTTTGCCACAAATTTATTTCATGACTATAGAATCATTGCCAAACATTATCTTGATTATTCATGAACTTTCTGGGTTTGTTTCCTATCAAATGAGAACACCCACTTTACAGAGCTATTGTGAGCATAAAATTAGATAACATCTGTGTAAAATCCTGTTACATACTTATCCTATTGGTTGCTTAAAAAAGATTTTTAGTTGTGGGTTGAAATCAAACATTTTATACATTAATCATAATTAACAGTATTTGAAATTAGGTCATAATTAGGTCATAATCAGCTCAAACCTTATTATGAAAATTGGTTAACAAAATGTCATGTGCCACAACCAAAAGTGAGTTGCCTGCCATTGGTGAGACATTATAATTTTAGAAAATGATCTAATATTTAGAGGAAAGAGTGATCTTTTTCTTCCAGAGGATTATTTTAGGGATTGCTTATCTTTATGAGTGGAGTTGTGTGAGTTAGGTGAGTCTTTTCCTGCTTTCATTACAGCCTCCTTTATGGCTATCAAGTCCTGCTATAGTGAATATAATCTTTTAAATCTGATGAGTCATCCATCAGCTACAGTGGCAAACATGGGCTAAGGATGGTGAGTCTGATCTTTTGAAAGGGCAGTAGTGCTCTCTGGCATTCCTTCTACACTGTCTACTCTTTGATGTCAGTATTTAATTTTGTCCTCTCCTCCCATCTGTCTAGAGCTGATGAGAAATTCAAAAGGAAGAAAATATCTTCTGTCTCTATTTTGTCTTACAGTGTGACTCTGCACTGTCTTGCCAGACTTCAGTTATTGATATGCTCTAATCTCACTGGCCCACGACCATGCCTTAGTGATTGTCCTTTCTACCTTCTGGTTAGTGATCATCCCTCTTCTTTGCCAGTTCATTCCTATCAACATACACACAGGTTGAAATAACTCCTATCTTCAAAAGAAAAGAGAAAAACGTTTCTTGAAGAGACTCCGTGGCTCCTGATTCTGCCTCCTATCTATGTTCCTCACTGCAGTAGAACAGTTCAAATAGGTTGCCTGCTCTAGCTTTCTTTCTGTTCTTTCTTAAAATTTCTCCATTAGATCTTCTTTCCCTGGCCAAAATACTCTAAGGTGACCAGTAACCTCTGTGACTTGCTTCACAGCAGTGCATGGCATGGTCACTGTTTGTTTGGATTCCAAATTCTCTCTTGTTTCAGTGTCAGGTTGCTCCTCATTTCACATACTCCTGATTGCCTTGCTAGGTGGATCCTGTGGCTTCCACCTGTGTCTGAAATGTATGTTCCCTGATATCAGTCAAATTGCTTTCTAGCTTGCGGGGGGCTCCTCAGTTTGGACCTCTCCTTTCTAGTTTTGACTTCTGCCCTCCAGCTTGGGCCTCCATTCCAAGCTGCACACTCTCATGGTCCAGCGATCTCCTTGATTTCTCCTTTTGGATGTCACAATGTCCAAGGTCAAGGTCCTGACGTCAATGCCTACAACTGTACCTGTTGTATTCCTTATCTGGAGTTGTTCAAGTCATAAACTCTGAGTTGGGCTGATAAGGTGGCTCAGTGTGTAAAGGTATTGCTGCCAAGACTGACAACCTGAGTTTGGTCCCCAGAACCCACAGGTAGAAGGAGAGAACCAACTCCCACAAATTGTCCTCTGACCTCTACATGTGCATTGGGACACATGTGCTCTTTCCAAATAAAGGTTTTTGTTTTTTTTAAAAAAAAAAAAAACTGAGTCCTCTTTGACTCCTCGCTCAGCAACTGCTGATTGCAATGCCCTCAAATTCTACCCGCAATCTGACCTCTTCTCACCACCTCAATAGTTACCATCTCTGTCCGTGCTACTACTGCTTTTGAATGGATTGTTGTGCTGCCTTTCTTACTGACCTCCTTCTTCTATTTTCCTGTCTATTACAAGATTCTCCTTATAGCATTCAGAAAGGACCTCTTAAAACATGAGGTCAAATTCCCCGTGTGCTCACAGCTTCCCAGTGGCTTTCCATTACTGGAATTAAAAGCTGAAATAGTCACAGTGCCTTGAAAAGCCCTAGTATTTTGCTTCTTTGCTGTCTCCTCCATCATTTTTTATCTTTTAAAAAAAATATTTTATTATTTTTATTTTATGTGTATGTGTGTATTGCCTGCACGTAGGTAAGTGCACCCATGTCATGCAATGCCTGCGGAGGACAAAAGAGGATGTTGGATCCCCTGGAACTGGAGTTACAGACAGTTGTTAGCTGCCATGTGGGTTCTGGGATTCGAACCTGGATCTTCTGCAAGAACAGTCAGTGTTCTTAACCTCCGAGCCATCTCTCTAGTCCCTTTTTTACCATTTTTTAACATCTTATACTGGCTACTCTCGCCTACCTTTCTTTAAGGAATTAAGTACATCTCACACTGCAGAGCCTTTGTGCCTGGTACCTACTGATTGCTCCTTTTTATGCCTGAAATACAGAATGGCTTCCACAAGAGGCTCCCAGAAGCCACCAGCTTCATTCCACTTGAATGTTACTGAGCTCGTCTCTGAAAACTGTATGTACTACCTCACTCTTAACCTTTCCTCCCTCCGGTTAGTCCTGTATTCTGACTCTCCTCTTTGAGGGCAAAGACTTTATTCTCTCAGGACTATATCCTTAAGAGACAGACCTATGTCTGGAACTTCACAGGCATTTAAAACAGACAAAGGTGGACAGAATTGTGGCATCATAATTGTGAAATTCTCAAATGATTTAATAAAGCTTTTAAAGATGTTATATACTACACTTAAAAACATTATAAAACAAGGAGCTGGAGAGATGGCTCAGCAGTTAAGAGCACGGGCTGACTGTTCTTGCAGGAGACCAGAGTTTGAATCTTAGCACCAACATAGCTGCTAACAACCATCCATAAGTCCAGTTCCAGGGGTTCTGATGCCCTCTTCTGACCTCCACAGGCACTGCACGACATGGGTACTCTGATATACATGCAGATATACACTCATACACATAAAATAAAAATGATAGATAAAATATATTTTAAAAATTATAAAACAAGGTAAGGCCATATATAAAATTCTGATGCTTACAATCCTATTTCAACATACATGTGATGGTGACACTGATAACCAACATTGAAGCATGCAGTAGACATTGTATAAGATTATGTAGCTTAATCTCTACTCAGTATGTAATTGTCATATTTTACAAGACAAGAGACTAGATGAAGAAAGGAAGTGGCTGGGACTGGACCTCCTATGTCTAGTTCAGAACTTCTAAAGAATTATGGGACTGCTACATTCAGAGCCTCCTCAGTCAGATGATCTGGACACATTGGCCACTTGTACACTTACATAGAAAAATACTTAAGAAATGGTTTTTAGTTTTAGAAACCAAGAACAGAATTTTTCTTAAACAGTAATTATATAAACAAAATACTTTCTGAAAATGTTTAACCAGAAGTTGAATCTGATGGCAGTTTGTCTAACGACATAAGACAGCTCTTACAATCTGGTTTATTAAACAAATGTGTTGTAGCACCAGACTGAGGGAGCTGTTGCTATGGTTGGGGATGCTGTGCTGTGCGTGTACATAGATACTAAAAAACACAGATCCATGGCTGGCAAGCTCTGTTGGGTTGTTCTGGTTTTTTTGTTTTGTTTTTCCGTTTTTGAAACAGGGTTTCTCTGGAGCCCCAGCTGTCCTGGAACTCTCTATGTAGACCAGACTGGCCTCAGTCTCACAGAGACCCACCTGCCTCTGCCTCCCAAGAGCTGAAATTAAAGGTGTGCACTACCACACCCAGAAAGAAGTACATGCTTAATTTTAGATTTTTATAGCTGCTTTGCAATAGGCTGCTACTTTTCAGAACAAACTCAAACCGAAATTCTGTGCAGGAGGGTAAAATAGGGAGAGAGTTCCCAAGTATAAGAGAAGACGCCACCAATAAAACCATGTTTGGTCCTGGCCCTACTGTTTAGTTTTCTGATTCTGTAGAAGACAGTACCAAGTTAGAGCTGGGGACACTAAGATCTCAATTTTCCAGTTTTTCCATTTCTCTGCTACATCATACTCTCCTGGTCTGTTGTTGGAGGTACCAGCCCCTTTCCTGAAAGACCTGGATGAGTGGATATAGTAAAAGTGGATCCACAGAGCCTACTTTTCACTGAAGGTGCAGGTGGATATGATATGATCAGTAACTGTCACTGACACTTTTTTCTCCTGTGAAAGGCAGGTCTAGAGTGTTGTGTTGTGGTACGGCAGGAACTGCTTTTGCAAAATCAAGAAAGTAGTGATGCCCAGTCTTATGCAGCTAAATTGTGTTTGTTAATTTGCATAATGTACTACAAGTTGCCAGGAGGTCCATCTGTTTTTTTCATTAGTATCAAAATGTGTATCTTGGCTCTACATTCATACTCTCTGAAAAAGAGTTAGAAAGTAGTCTCTTTATGAAGTTCTTTTCTAGTGGAGAAGGTGTCAGTGGGAACTAATTACAGGAACTCCATGTCCTTCAGTTAACATGGTAACATAATATTTTTGTTAATCTTACATACTATGAATGACACCACCAAGCTTTTGTATAATTGCTAGAACCACAACTTATATTATGGATATTTTATTTCTTGTTAGCTTTATGCTTTTGGGGTGGTGGTGACATGATTGATTTCCCTATTTCATTGTGAGCTTAAAGAAATGCCAGGTAATTAATAAAACGAGTTACAATTTATGTGTATAATTCAGGCTCCCATGTTCTTGAATTGTCCAAAACAACAACAAAAAACTGTGTGTGTGTGTGTGTGTGTGTGTGTGTTTATGGTTGTCTTTTGATGAGCTAGGGAGTGACAGAGAAGACAATTAGTAGATTCTCCTTGGCTTAGTCCATAAGGTGACATTAAAGTACCCCCACTATATCCTTTCATTTTTGTGGACTTTGTCATGACCTTTTTCCTTCACTCCAACATCTGCTTAGTGTTTAGGTGGAATAATTTCTTTGGTTTTTGCAAAATCTGAAAGTGCTCTGAATCCATCTGGCCATTGTTCTCAAGCCACTGAGTGGGTCATATTTGGGATTGGATTCTCATGCTGTGAACTTGAAAGTCACTCTCTTTGACTTTAAAATATAGAATATATAGATTGTATTTTATCTGTTACTTTTGTTCTGAACAGGCTGCAGATACTTTAGCTGTAAGGCAGAAAAGAAGAATTTATGATATCACCAATGTCTTAGAAGGAATTGATCTAATTGAAAAAAAATCGAAAAATAGTATCCAGTGGAAGTAAGTTACAAACCAGTACCGTAGCCTAAAACTGTCTTTGCTCTATACAACTTGAACTTTGAAACCTTTCTCTCTCCCAAATTTCATCCTCTAATCACATTTTTCTCGGGATATATACCTCTCTGGAACTCTGGGCCTATCCTTGTGTGTTCAGTTATTTCCTTGCTCTCTCTGTTTCATTAACTGTTGCATGGTTACTTATTTGTTACAAATATTTTATGTTTTTCAGCATATTTCCTTTGGCCTTAGTTTTTTGTTTTGTAAAGATTCTGCCAAAACAACCAAAAGTTTGCAGTTAACTTTTCCAGGGCCTCATTGTACATTGTGAGATGCTAAGCGTTAACGGTTCAGCTTCAACATGCTTTTGGTACCTCAGTTGCCATTCTGGCCTTCCAGATCATAGAAACCATTGTAGAACATACTGAGAATTTTCATAATGTGGTTCTTCTTGTCAGTAGATTTTTCTAAACAAGTATATTCAGAGTTTGTGTTTAAAATTTTGTAAGTGTAATTTAGAAGAGTGCAACCTTTTGATTAGTCAGTTTTATTATTACAAAAAATTAAGTGATATTAACTGAGGTCTGACACTAGGGATATTTATTCTCATGTTTTTTAAGAGGTGTAGGTGCTGGGTGTAATACTAAAGAAGTTATAGATAAATTAAGATTTCTTAAAGCTGAAATTGAAGATCTAGAACTGAAGGAAAGAGAACTTGATCAGCAGAAACTGTGGCTACAACAAAGTATCACAAATGTGATGGAAGACTCCATTAATAATAGATATCCTTTTGAATAAGTTATACATATAGCAATAGAATGTGTATGCATACAATATTCCAGTCTTAAAGTCAGTTACTTTGTTGTTTATAGTTTTATAAGTGAATATAGCATTTTGTAATATTCTTCTAATTATACTGATATTTTGAAAAATACCTTTTGAAGTTGTAAAGTATCATTAATATTATTCTTGTGTTATAAAAGGGGAAAAAAAGATTAATGTACTTTCAGTATACGCATTGACAGAATGCAGTATCCTGGTCTTAGGACAGGTGCCTATGAATACTGTTGCTGGATATGCAAATTTCTTTAAATAATTATATTCAGTGTGCTGAGGTTATTAAAACTTAGAAACTTTCACTATTATTTTTTTAAAATATTATTTTTATTTTATGTGTATGAGTGTATTGCCTGCATGTATGTGAGTGCACCTGAGTCGTGCAGTGCCTCAGAGATCAGAAGAGGGTTTTGGATTCCCATGGAACTGGAGTTAAGGATGGTTTGTAGCCACCATGTAGGTGCTGGGAATCGAACCTGGGTCCTCTGCAAGAGCAGTCAGTGCTCTTAACCACTGAGCCATCTCTCCAGCCCGAAACTTTCACTTTTAAAAAATTAATTTTGGTTTGAGGAAGTATCATGGGCTCATATTGCATGATGCTCCTTCCAAATATTAACCCAAAAATAGTTTCTCCTATTAAATAGGCAGATATTAGTGATGCAGTCCATGTCTTACAAACTGCTGTCTACTCTTAGAGACTCTCTTGTTTTGTATCTTTACCTGTACTTTTATGGAAACTTTACTGTTTCACATCTCACACAAATATTTGAATAATGTATACAATGTTTTTCATGTTACCTTTATTTTGGTTTTTTAGTGGGTTAGAGCTCTATAGCCATGTGAGAACAATGGGAGTTTTTAAGCTGTGTCCTGTGGAACACAAAGATTCAGAAACCACTGAAGTAGACCTTAAATATTGCTGTATTACACTGTAGCATTACAGTTTGTCCATACACAATTCTCCAAACTATGTGTACAAACATGAACACACACACAACTTTCTGGTTTAGGAAGACTGCCCTAGATTGATGCAGTTCTTAGAAAATGGCAGGAGGAGGCTTACGATAAACAGGCTAACTAGTCATGAACCATACCTCCTCCATCTGGCCCACAAACCCAGGAGGTAGTATTCCTCTGCCTTACTCATCCTGGGGCCAGGAAAAATCAGCTAGGGATCAAAGAGTTTGCCAAAATTATTCAGCCTAATTGGTATAGAAGTGTTTCCTCTTCCCACCCATGAAAACAGAGATTCTGGACTAATGGTTTTCCCCCATTTATCCTGTCTTCTGACCACAGTGTTCTATAGCCTGCTGTGCTTTTGTCTGTAGTTCCTATGGAGTATATTTTGTTTTCCAGGGTGTCCCCTCTCTTTCTATAATCATACTAGCTCATAAAGGATAAGGGCAGAGTGACCTAAGAAGATTCTCCATGTGGAATCCTGTATGGCTGCTTTCCATTCAGTCTCAATGTTCTATCCCATCCATTCCCCTTTCCATAGAAGCCCCTAGTAGGAACACCATTTCCTTCTTGATCCCAAGAATCCTCAGATGTTGCAGATCAGAATGGCTTCTTTTCAGAGTGAAAGATAGAAACTCCTACAGACCTTTCATTGTCTGTCTTTCTAAAGACTTGTGCTTTTTTTTTTTAATCTGACCACATACATGCAGCAACCCCTTCATTTGATTTGAATTTGGGCTCCAAATTTATTATTTTAAATGTGTAGGCCTTGATATAAACATTGTTCCCTAACTCTCTTGGCAGTACATTTTCCTACATAACTCATGAAGACATCTGTAACTGCTTTAATGGTAAGTGCTATCTTAAATCACAGAAGAATCAAGCAACCTTTTCAAAGTTAGAGTCAATAACAAGATTTAAGCTGGAGCATTTGACCTTGAATTTATCATAATTGTTTATTAAACTATATATGGTAGGTGTGCTAGTTACAAATGAAACCCAAAGGAAGCAAAAAGAAGTTAGGTGAATCTATTTCATAAACAGGAAGATAACTCCTAATCCAGTTCCATCTTCTGCATCCTATATTTAGCCCTTGAAATGACGATGTAGTGTATTAACTGAAACGGAGACCCTCTCGCTAATTACTAAACAGATAAAATGAAATCTGTACATACTTAATTATGTTAGCTTATTAGAAGGACAGCATATGCATTGTCCACATGTAGTAAACTAACAAATTATCTTATCAAATGCAGTCTGTGTTTCCATGTAAGACTATGTTGGAAATGCATGTGGCCTCACCGTCCTGTTTTAAAAGAGCCAAGAGTTTTTTGTTTTTGTTTTTGTTTTTTTTGAGACAGGGTCTCAGTGTGCAGCCCTGGCTAGCCTGGAATTAGGCCTGCCTCTGTCTCCAGAGGGCTGCAGTTAAAAGCATGTTCTACCATGTCCAGCACCACCACTGCTCTTACGCATTATAATAAAGTTTGGGGAAAGTTTTATTAATCTGAAATTGTATAAGAACTCTGTTGTAAAATATGGCCTTAAAAATAAATTGCTCAAGGATAACCTTTTATTCTAATGTCCTGTTATTTAAATGGTTTAAGTAAACAATTATTTATATAAGGCTAACAGTTGACGAATCTCCAACTTTACAGAACACTGAGTAATATTCTACTGGGTGGTGGTGCACACTTTTAGTCCCAGCACTCAGGAGGCAGAGGTAGGTGGAGCTCTGTGAGATTGAGGCCAGCCTGGTCTACATAGCAAGTGCCAGACAGCTGGAGCTACAGGGAGACCCATGTCTGAAAAAGGCAAAAGGCGAAAAAAAAAAAAAAAAAAAAAAAAACTGCGCTGTATTTGCTAGTGAGAGCAGCTAACACTGAAAATTGGTTGCTTAAGAGCTAATAATACATGTATTACCTCGTTTTATGTTCAGCGCACACCTATGCAGTAAGTTATATGTCCTTCATTTTATAAAAACAGAGGACATCTAGCCTAGATTTTTTTTGTTTTAAAAATAGGGTCTCCAGTGTCCCAGGTTGCCAGGTTGGCTTGAAACACTTAGGGAGCCAGGATGACCTTCTGATCCTTCTACCTCTACTCCTTGGTGCTGGCGTTACAGGCATATGCCACTACACCCAGTTTGTAGGGTGCTGGCATCATACCTGGCACTTCTTGCATAGTAGGCAAGCACTCTACTGAGCTATATCTTAAATCCCTATTTTTGTTTTTGAGTTAGAAAGTAGCAGATATTGACCTGGAACTCTGTGTAACAGAGGCTACCCTTGAACTCTTGATTTTCCTGCCTCTACCTCCCAAGAGCTGAGACTGAAAATACTACAATGCCTGAAAGCCTGATTTAAATCCAAACTTTTCACTCCAGGCCACTCATTCTTAACTCTGTATTTTATGATCAATGTCATTTCTACAATTTGAAGTATTTATTTTACCAGGTGATACACTGTTGGCCATTCAAGCACCTTCTGGTACACAGCTAGAAGTACCTATTCCAGAAATGGTATGTAATACAGCTTTACACAAGTGAGGAAAATTATAGCTACTGGGTTAAGAGGGACAAATGAATTTTCTACAGCTGAACATGAATGAATAATTGTGGGCACTTTTGAGTTCCTGCTTTTAAGTTTTATATCTCAGAAGTACTGATATTTGAATATTTAGACATCTTCAGTACTTTGGTAAGGACTGAATAAATCACTTAATATTTTGATTACTTTTTTTTTAATGTTTGACTTGATTTTATTGGAGGATGTGAAGTAATTGATATGATTAGTAGTAATCTTTTTAAAAATAAATTATTTATGTGTATGAGTGTATTGTCTATGTGTATAAGTGTACCTGTGTCATGCAGTGCCCACAGAGGTCCAAAGAGGACATCGAATCCCCTGGAGCTACTGTTAGTTGCCATGTGGGTGCTGGGAACCAAACCCAGGTCCTCTGCAAGAGCAGTAAGTGCTACTACTGCTGAGCCATCTTTCCAGCCCCAACTAGTAGTAGTCTTAAAAATCACTTAAAATGATCAAATCTAAAACTGATTTAAAAAAAAAAAACAAACTTTGACCAAGGAAGAAATTCAGTTAAACATCAAAAATTGATTACCTTAAATTAGATCTTCAAATATATTTTCTGGCTTATTGAGTCAAAGAAATTTACTATGCTTTGTAAGTTTCATGACATTAGGTTTCAGATTCAGGTTCCCTAAAGCAAACAGATTTAAGATGTAAGAATAAAAACTGGAAACAGAAAAGTATTACTACTATATTATCTATACTCCCCTTTCCACCTATTCCAGACATATTTAGGAATTTATATTACCTTATTTTAAAGCCTTAGAAAAAAAATTTTTTTTTGAAAAGGAGGAATTTTTATATTTTTGTGTACAAAGTCAGTTGTCTTTGTGCTTGCTGAGTGGAGAAAGTTGGTTTGTAAAGTAGTTGTAAATGCAGTGCTCTGTTGAGGTGACTGTCATGGCTTACTCCAGAGATGCATGTGGAAAATCGATAGAGCACTACTAGCACTACCAGGTACATTATAGACAGTGAAAGTGGATGGTGGTCCAGCAGGGCATGGTGATGCATACATGTAATCACAGTATGTGGAAGACTGAAGTAGGAGGCGGCCAGCTTAGGCTATACAGTGAAATCTTACCAAGTAAATAAAGAGCCTATCAAGTTAAGAAAGAAAGGGTGAGGAGGGTTAGGGAAGAAGACAGAAGGAGGGAGGGAAAAGAAAAAGAAAGGAATGTCTTCCTTGGTCAAAGTTTTTTTGGTTTTTTTTTTTTCTTTAAATCAGTTTTAGATTTGATCATTTTAAGTGATTTTAAGACTACTACTAGTTGGGGCTGGAAAGATGGCTCAGCAGTAGGAGCACTTACCACTGAATGTGGGTGTTGGGAATTGAACTCAGGTCCTAGAAGAGCTCTTAACTACTGAGACATCTCTCTAGCCCCTACACCTCTTTCTGATGATCACTTTTTGAGCAAACTTTACCTTTTAGGGGCAAATGATTTGCAGACCTCAAAATTCCATCTACTTGATATTTTCTCCAGTGTTTCATCTCAATGACTTTATTTTGTCATGTGAATTTAGTTATTAGTCTCTAATGGCTTTGCCTGTCTTAATGTTTCAAGTTAGCTAGAAGTGATAATATTTATTTGCTTATACCCAATAATTTCAAAGGGGCAGAATGGACAAAAGAAATACCAGATAAATTTAAAGAGTCATTCAGGACCTATCCATGTGCTGCTTATAAATAAAGAGTCCAGTTCATCTAAGCCAGTGGTTTTTCCGGTTCCCCCACCTGATGACCTCACACAGCCTTTCTCCCAGTCCTCGGCTCCAGTGACTCCACAGAAACCCACCATGGCTGCTCAGAATCTGCCTGAGCAGCGTGTTTTTGAAAGAAACCCAACTTTCCAGCAGACACCAGCTACAGAAATATCTTCAGGTTGGTTCACAGTCTCTGGTACAATATTAAAGGTCAAAATATGAATATTACACGAAACAGATTGGAGAGGTGTTCTGAATTTGTTACTTTGTTCTGTTATGAGGCAAAATAAGCTTAATTAGCATGCTTTAATTATCTTCTATGTGCTCTTCACTAGAGTATTATAAGGAAGATTCTAAAGCAGATCTTTTATAGTGCTACAGATTGTGTATGAGTGTGTGTGTGCGTGTGTGTGTGTGTATACATACACTTATATATGTATATATGCACACTGCTACCAAAATCTCTAATCAGGTAGAATATCATATTAAGACTGTATGTAGAATTTTTGTTTCCAAGCAACAGAAATATCTGCTATTTTCATTAAGATTCCATTTTGGGAACCAGTTGAGTCAAATTTGTGCCTTTTCCTTTTTTTTGAGGTGGGGGGGCAACACTAGAGATTGAACCCAGGGATTTACTTACACATGCTAGGCAAACACTTCTATCACTGAGCTACATCCCCAGCCCTTTGCTTTCTTTTAGTTTTTGAGACAGTTTCACTGTTACTCAGGCTAGCCTTGAATTTAATCTGTAGCCAAAGCAAACCTTGAATTTAGATCTTCCAACCTCAGCTTCCTAGGTAGCTGAGATTATAGGCCTATGTCAGTGTGTCTGATTTTTCTTTTTTTTTAACATGCTGTGTACCCCAGGTTGGCCTTGAAGTCACAGTATTCCTGCCTCAGCCTCATAAATGCCAGGATTACACCACCATGCCTGGCTCTTTTAGTATTTAAACATCAACTTCTATCTAAAGTTTACTTGGTAAGGTTCTTCCATTCTTTGCAAGAGTAGGGAAAGTTACTGAAATGAGTTTTACCTTTAAGAAAAGTCAGTCTAATATACAGCATAGTGACTTATTCCTCCATTTTTCTATATTTTTTTTATACTTTTCATGTGGAAGACTTTTTTTCCCCTTCATTTTAACTTTGTGTGTGTGTAAACTTGTTTTGTGTATTTGTGTGTATGTAAATGGTATATCCACATATACATGTGCAGAGGCGAGAGAAGGATGCTGGTTGTCCTGCTGTCACTCTCTGCTGTATTCCTTTGAAACATGGTCTTTCACTGACCTGGGAGCTAGCTGAGGTCGCAGGCACATAGGGCCATGACCGCTGTTTATGTGGGTGCTGATACTCAGCTCAGGACCTTATGCTTGCACAGCAAGCACTATTATCCAGTGAGCTATCTCTCCAGCCCTCAGAAGCTAGTTTTTATGAAGTTGATAAATGATTCTATCTCTTAATAATTGGCTAGGAATACAGTTCTGTTGCTACCAACTTGCCTAGGATGCACAGAGCCCTGGGTTTGATCCTCAACACCATATAAATGAGCATACTGGCACATGCCTATAATCCTAGCATTATGAGATGGAGGCAAGGAGGTTCAATTCAAGGATATCCTTGGCTACATAGTGAGTTCAAGGCTAGCCTAGAATACGTGAGACTGTATAAAGAAAAATCGTATTAGGAAATCTTGCCTAAGTTGTTTCATCAGTTAGACAGATCGATCAATCGATTGATCATTGCCCATCAGGAGGTAGAAACCATGAATCCTAAATTTATAAAATTTCTCTATCGTTTTCTTTGCATTCAGAGCTAGCTCTTTGGCAACTTGTTAGTGATTCCAAATAATGGGAGGACTACTGAATCAGTGAACTAACTATACCAGTACAAATGTCATTGCAGACATTAAAAGCTATATTATATATAATCCATATTTTTGCTTACGGGTTATATCTTATTGCTACTACCGAGGCTGCACAGTAGGTAGCAGTGAAACTAGACATAGATTGGTTTTTAGCTTCTTATTGCTGACGTCTTTCTATAAGTTGTTCTATACTATAGCTGAAGGGATACACAGTAGAAAAGTCTTTAAGCAGCTAGTAATTATAATCTGATAGGGATAAATAAGGTAAACAAGCTTTATTTGCTTTAGCTTTGACATATTTGGTACACTGGATTTCAAAGAACATTTTTTTAAAAAATTAAGAATTGAAGCTGGGCATGGTGGCTCACACCATTCTTTAGTCCCAGCACTCCCAGAGGCAGAGGCAGGCAGATCTCTGTGAGATCAAGGCCAGCTTGGTCTTACAGCGAGTTCCAGGTATGTCATGTGGAATATACAGAAGAAAGTCAATTGGTGCCACATTAGAGGAGGCTTTGAATATCAGATAAACTGAAAGAATTTAAGATCTGCGAATGGCAAAGAGGAGCAGTTAGACCCATGCAGTAGTGAGCATGAGAATAGGAAACCTTGGGAAGGGTATGGTTTTGGGAAGCAGAAGGCAGCATTTCAGAAGCAGAGAAGACTGAAGACTACACATTATGCAGCTGAGGAACATTAGGCTAAAAGAGGGTGCTACCAAGGGGACAGCAAGCAGCAATGAGGATATATGAGAAATTCTGTTAGGCAAAGTAAGTAACTTTCGATGTATGAAATCTGGAGGTAAAATGAACAGAAACAGAAGTGTTGTTGAAGGTTTAAGGTTGAGTGAGTGGGAGAATTATACCACAGACTTTGTCAGTTGTAGAAGAATGAGTCTTTTCATGTCTAGAGCTTGGACGTTTAAAGGTAATGACAAGTAGAATGGGTATGTGTAAAATTATCTTTTCCTCAGTATTCTTACAGCGTAACTCTATTCTGTCCATCAAGCTGGTTGTGAATTGAAATGTAATTGCCTTTTACCGTTAAAACGTTAGTAAAATCAGATATTTCTGTTTTCAGCAGGATCTGTTAGTGGAGATATCATTGATGAATTGATGTCATCTGATGGTAAGTTAAAATTTTATTACTATATATATCATTACCCTAATGTTTAAATGCCATATGATTCAAGAGAAAAAAGAAATCTATTTTCTAACTGCTTTACTATCATTCAGGAAGCTTTTCTCTTAGTATGGGCATCTTTTGGAATTTATTTACTTATTTTTGCTTGCATGCTGAAAGGAACCTATAAGGAATACTTAGCACTTCCATTGAAAATTGTTGGCACATTGGTCCAGAAGTAGTGAAATAGTATGCCACAATCAACAGATCTGAAGACCCAATTTGTTCATACCCCCCACCATGGCCCATTTCAAGCTGTCCATATAAACCACTGAACTATTACTAGCATTAGCTAGGGTATCGTTTAATATGAAATTAAAAAATCAATTAGCTACAATATGCTAATTACTAATTTCTCTCAGGGCTTTACCGTCTTACAATTTTATAGATTCATAGCTTGGATCCTAACATATATAGCAGAGCTTTAGGAAGTACCATCAGTTAAATTGGCAAATAGTAGAAAACCCATTTAGAGATTAGCTGAGTTAATAAATCTAATGTAGACTTCTGTTTCCAAAGTGGCAAAATATATTTGAACCAATGTTTGAATTTAAAAAAAAAAAAAATATATATATATATATATATATGACATGAATATACCAATGACTGTGTTTTCAAAGATTTGCATATAAAGATAATTTATACATTGGTGTGGTAATGCATACCTGTAATACCATACTTGAAAGGTGGAAGCAGGTGGACCAAGAGTTCAGGATTATCCCTGGCCACATAGTAAGGTTGAGATGAGACCTAACTGGATCTCATAAAGTTAAATGAGATAATGTAATTTTTTTTCTTATTTGAGTCAAGATCTCCCTGTAGCCCCAGCTGGCCTGGCACTCATTTAATGTAGACCAGGGTGGCCTCCATCTCACAGAGATCTGCCTGCCTCTGCCTCCCAAGTGCTGGGTGGGACTTAAAGGTATGCACCACCATGCACATTTGAGACTGTTTTATGTTAACCATAACCTCCATGTAGAAACCAGCTGTAACACTGATTCTGTTTTTGTTTGCAGTGTTTCCTCTCTTACGGCTTTCTCCTACCCCAGCAGATGACTACAACTTTAATTTAGATGATAATGAAGGAGTTTGTGATCTGTTTGATGTTCAGATACTAAATTATTAGATTCCATGGAAAGCAAAACTTGGGACTGTTATCTACCTCTAACTGTATAACATTTTAGAATTCTTAATAACCTAAGTATTTAAAATAATGAATGTAACACTTTTTTAGTTCACTGATTCTGAAGTGTTCCCCTCTAACACTTTTCTTTTTTACTTCACAAAACTTCAAACCATAAACCAAAGGGCTCTGACTGCTTCATGGGAAAAGTGATCCACCAGCATCCTCCTCCAATAATTACATTTAGTTTCTTCCAATGCTGAATTCTTCTGTTATTTCCTCTTCTGAGAGGAAAGTTAAAGCAGATTTCAGGTCATCAAATACAAAAGTTGCCCAAATAATCTATTTATATTTTTACTGCCACAAAGCTGTATTTCTATGTCCTTCAAACAATGTTCACTGCCACTTATAAAGTGAAGGATATAACTGTTTCGGTGAACAGACTTTGTGAAGTGCCTTCTGTTGTAGCACTTTAAGTTTATCAGTTTGTTGACTCCTGACATCTCACTTTCCTAGAGTATAGGAAAGATCTATGTAGTTTGTTTTAAAAATGTGCCAATGCCTGTATATTAACAAGATTTAAAAAATAAAGTTGTATAAAATATTTAATTTATTGATCTTTCGGGGGAATTTGATACATCACTATTACAACTGTGCCATTAACCTTGTAGCTTCGTCAACATTAGCTGATTCATTTTCATGGTGCTGCTGCTGAGGAACCTAAAGGGAAAAACAGTTTAAAAAACTTCAATAGCAGCAAACAAAAATACCTTAAATATAATCTGTTTTGTACTTTAATTCTTCTAGTCCTATTTTTGGAAGTATAATAACAGATTCTACATTCAAACTCAAGTGTTTTAGACTCTGACTATGACTGAAGGAGCACTGGCTGCTCTTGGAAAGGACGGGGTTTGATTCTTAGCACCAACTGGCGGCTAACAACTGTCAGTAACTCCAGTTCCAGGGGGATCTGATGCCCCTTCTGGGCATTGCACAACATGTGTACACTTACACACATGCAAGCAAAACACTTATACTCATAAAATAAAAATGATAAAATATTTTTTAAAATCAAGTAGTAAAAATTACACTAAACTTTGAGATTTTCAAAATCAGGAGTCTATCAGCCTTCAATATATTAGCCCCATGAAAGCAACAATTTCTACTTACCAGTTCTTTCTGCACAGATTTAAGAGAAAGGCTTTTTGAGAAGTTTGCAAGTTCCTTCTGTATATTTACAAAAGCTCTGTTCACTCTGTTAACTTTTTCATCATTCATAATGTTTATCTGTTAAAAATGAAAAAAAAATTCAGTCACATTTTGTACCTATTAAAGATAAAATGGATTCATCTTTTTTTTTATTTTTTTAACTTTTACAAAAACTTTATTGAGAATTTCATACATGCATATAAAGTGTTTTGGTCAAATCCATGCCCACTCCCTCCCCTCCCAACAGTCCCCCCCTCTGAAGAGGTAACCCTAAAATCTTTTAAGGATTAGATACAAGCTCCCAAATACTTTTGACATTTTTGGCCTTTGGAACAGAGTATGTTGCTAACAGGCCCAAGGACATTTTGACTTTTAGCCAAGAAACTGGCTACATTGTTTTGGGATCTTTTTACCCTAACTACTAACTACTCAGCCAATTCCTACCTCCTATTCTTATCACACCATCGTCTGAAGGGGTTATCCAAATTGCTAATAGGGAATAGGGATGCAGACTGCTCTGGCTTCTTCTATGCTGAACAGGGATGCAGGGTGAGGCAACTGGAGTACCCTTTCAGTGGGTCTATCTAAAAGACTCCCAAATTATATAACTCGTCTCTAAGGGGAAAAGATGAATAGGAGATTCATGAAGGAGAAGTAAGTAAAGGCAAGAGTAATTAATGTTACAAGTTCTAGGCGGAGAAATAGAAAAAAGTCAGAACAGGGTCTTTATTTAATCTTGTTAAGCATAAAAAAAAAATCTAAAGACGCGGCTAGTGAAATGTCTCAGCAGGTGAAGGCTAAAAGGCAGGCCATCTGAGTTGCATCCTCAGAACTCATAAAAGTGGAAGGAGAGAACTGTCTTCTTGACTTTACACACTCCTTCCTTGACACATACCATGTGACCAGACACACATATACACACAATAATAAAAATTTGTGTAAAGGTCTAACTTTTGACCCCATCAAACTGTGGGGCTAATTCATATTAAAACTACTGTAGTCTTAACAGTTATATGGATTTGCCTCATACTTAGGTTTTATTGATATAAACAGATCAAAATATGTGACTTGGGGCTAGAGAGAACTTAGCAGTTAAGAAGAGCACTTGCTGCTGTTGTAGAAATCCCAGGTTTGGTTCCCAGCACTCAAACAGGTCACAACTGCCCGTAATGCCAACCAATGCCCTCTTGACTCTGGGTACCTACACACATAGCATATACTCAAGACATGCACACATAAATAAAAATTAATATGCTTTTATAGTCCTAATAGTAAACTCTGAAGCTTTCTCTTGATCTTTTAATGTGTGCCTCAGCAGCCCTCCTCCTTTGAGTCTAAGCGTGGAGAGTGTATGTATCACTGCTGCTACCCGTTTCTCCTTAAAGCCTTTAGCTTCTTTGTACCACATTCATGAGAACACCAACACTCCTCCTTCCTCATTGTTGTCACCCACAAAAACCATTTACATGCTCCTTCATGAAAGAGTTCAAAATCTTGCTTCACTGACCACTCCTCTCATACATGGCGTCACTGCTTAGCAACTTCAACAAAAACCTAGCCATGGGGCCTCTCTTAGTCTCCTATGGTCCTTATCTGTAGAATCTGTCATGACCTGACTCTGCGCCCTGCCCCTATGTAGTACCTTCTGCATCACCTTCTCTCCTTATGCTTCACTTGTTTTTCTTGAAGTTCACTGAAATGTTTTTCCAATTTCACCATGTTTCAAATGTTCATATTCCAATTTCTCCCTAACTACCACAGATGCCACAGCCATCATTTAGTCAATCACTTCTTTATACTCTTAGGTCTTCCCTCTCTTCTCTACCCTCCCCCTGACAAAACTTGCTTGGCAACCTGGCTAAACCCAGCTAACCCTTCTGAGTCCAGAACTGTAGCCAGTGAAAGTCATAGCTGGCTGACTGACTTTATCATCATAAACGTCAATCCAACATCTACTAAAGCCACTTTCTGAGAAATATATTTGATACTTTCTCCAAGTATGTCACGTACTTACCCCCTTCTCTCATCCTATCATTTTATTCTAGTACCTCTTTAAAAAAAATTTTTTTTTTGTTCTTTTTGAGACAGTCTCCCTGTAGCCCCAGCTGGCTTGGAACTCACAATGTAGACCAGGCTGGCCTCAGTTTCAAGGAAATCCACCTGCCCCTGCCTCCCAAGTGCTGGGATTAAAGGCATGTGCCACCACACCCAGCAATTCTAATACCTCTTATCTCAAGAAAACAATCTTCCTGCAGGGTGTGGTGGTACATGCCTTTAATCCTGCACTTGGGAGGCAGAGGCAGGTGAAGATCTAGGCCTGCCCCATCTCCATAGTGAATTCCAGGCCAGTTTGGGCTATAGGGAGACCCTGTCTCAAAAAAGACCAAAAAAAGAAAAAAAAAAAACCAAAAAGCCCAAAACAAAATTCATCTTTGGGGCTGGAGAGATGGTTCAATGATTAAAGCAGTGGCTGCTCTTGTAGAGGACCCAGGTTCAATTCCCAGAACCCACATGATGGCTAATAACCATATGTAACTCCAGTTCCAGGGGATCTAACACCATCTTCTGACCTCCACAGGCAATGCACAACATGGGTGCACTTAACATGCAGGCAATACACACACATTAAAATAATTTTTTTTCCAAAACAAAGAGCATCTAGTTTATGCAGAATTCGGTTGTTTAGTAGTTTTACAACTATGTTTTATTCATAAACAATAAAGTCACAGTACTTAACAAATAACTCACCTTTTTAAGATTAGTAGTAACTGGTTTTGCTTTGTTTTTGGCCTTGAAGTTTTTTTGACTGGCTATATGAAATACATTCCTGGACTTCTGCCCTTTTGATTTGTTCTTGGCCATTGTCTAGAACGAAAAGAATTCAATTAAACTGCATATATTTATGAACTACAAATTAATTAAAATTTTAAAGGCACAATTAAAGTTTAAGAAACTCATTTCTGATGTTTTTGTTTGTCTTGCCTTTTTTTGAGACAAGGTCTCTCGGCCTGGAACTCACTATGTAGACCAGGCTGGCCTTGAACTCAGAGATTTGCCTGCCTCTGCCCCCCCAGTGCTGGATTTAAGGTGTGCACCACAAACAGCTCTATTTCCGGTTATTTTTTAAGTCACTACGATAAATTCTGTGTCTTTCACCCCTACTAAAAAATTTGCTGCATGAATGAGGCATATTTATCTAAAGCTTTCCTTCATCCCCAATATTAGGCCCATGAGATACCTAATTGATGCCCGCTGGTTGACTTCCGTGGTACCATCAACACATCTGTTTTTCTCCATAGCATCTGACGGTATTTGCAGTCAGCCATTCCTGTGCTAGTTCACACACTACTCTGCTATCCTAGCTCCTGCTACATATTAGAAACTGTCTCCTTCCTTTTTACTCTTCCTGCTCTCTTCTCTCTACTACATCCCATCAAAAACAGTCCATGATCTTGCACTTCCTCCTCCTTCAAATTACTGTAACAACTTCCCTGTCCTCTGTGCCTGTGGCTCTTACTCTGAAACCTTATTTTCTTTGCTCTGGCTAAATACACATTTAATCTTGTAACTTCTACTTTAGAAGCTTCTGTGAAATCTCTGCTTAATAAGACATCTGAGGAAAAAACTTAAAATATTAATAATTTTATAATCCCTGGGCAACCATTTTATGTGACCCAGCTCATTCTCCTTATCACACCCTTTGTGGGCAATACTGTTATCCCCATTTCAAACTGAAAACAGATGCAAAATTATGCTGGGACTTGAAACCATACAAGCTAGATCAGCGTTCACATGTCATCTTGAGCTCATGAAAACATTAAAAACATGGTGTAGTACTGACTTCTGCATTCTGCTGCCCTCCTGCTACAAAACTGCCACCCCCCCAAATTTAAGATTTTTATCTGTACCTTTACTAAAAGTTTGCCAAGCTCTCTCATACCGGCACACTAGCTGTCTTTCAGAAAACTGCACTGTTCTAACACACAGGGCAGTACGCCTTGGCCTGTCATATTACTGGTATTTGACTCCAGACTGAGATTTGTCAAACCTACCTCCGACCTCCGCACACTGTACAAGTAGGCCTGTTCTGTTAGCTATTCTCTAATGACACCTTGCATATTCCTCCTTTTCGCTCCTTTGCTCAGATTTTATTTTGACTCCACCAAAGCAGCCTCAAAAAAAACCCCAAAAAATACTAGTGGAAGCACTCTTGAACCCTAACAGGTCTATTTTTTTAATGTAATAAAATGCTGCAGAAAATACATGAATACAGAAGCACAGAGAAACATATGTACTAAATCCACCTGACCAATTAAGCAGACGTAGGTATTCTATGAATACTAATAATAGTACCAACATGAAACACGATGTTGGTGGGCAGACACAAATGACTTGAGAGTCCTGCTAGCTGAGACACACGTTCGTGAAGACGAACAGCTGAGTTGAATCCGGGGATTGTGGAAACTGACAACCACGTGGAAACAGACACAGTTAAACACGAGGAAACCGCCAAGGAATGGCTTCAAGGTTTCCGGCCTGGGCCAAAAGGCCCGTCGCCCACTGCGCGCCGCGGCCCGCAGGGGAACTCGGCGGAGCCCTCGGAGCCACAGCCACACGAAGGCCCACTCCGCCCCTCCCCGAAAACCGCGCGGCCGCGCCAAACGTTATCAGCTTCTCACCAGACCTTGGGAACCACTCGCGGACGCTCAGGATCCAAGTGACGCCATCTGCAAACACAGGGCACCGGAAGTTCCGGGAAGAAGGAGCCAGTTAGGTCAGCTCTTTCCAGTCGTGGCTCCTCCCACAGCGGAGCCCCGCCCTCCGAGCAGGGTCCGGCCCCCCAGCACTCTCCACACAGCCGAGCCCAGTTCTGTGAGTCGGGTTCCGCCCCGCCTGCCTCTCAGCGCAGTCCCGCTCTCTCCATGGATCCCCAACCCCTGGAGGCAGCTCCCTCTCGGAGTCTTGCTGGTAGTCTGGCCAGCAGCGCCAAGTCTCACCCGCTCCTTTACGTCCGCTCACAGCGGTCCTGGAGCGGGTTTCTACCCACCTGGTGTTTGCTGGAAACTTCCTGCGTACCCCGAGGCGGCGAGGTTTCGCCCACCGTGGAAGCCCTCCGCCACCTCCCTGCTCCCGGCTGTCCTTTGTCCCTTGGTGTTGATCCGGGCGGGGGAGCCTCAGATCGTGAGTTCCGTGGACACTTGGAGTCACCTGCTGGACGCCCGCCCTGTGTCGCGCGGCCGCGGGCTTCGCACGCCCGGCAGATGGCGCTGCGCTGCGGGCCTCCGTGCTGGGCTGGCTGCACACTGGAAATATCCTGAAAGCTCACATGCTTTTTCCATTAACTGATTTCTGAAAGCATGGCCGATGTACAAGAAATCAGTCAGAAATCTGTGTGGGTTCAAAAGTTTTGGAAAATCTAGGCAGTTTTTCCAAGAGGCTATTCGCATTAAAACTGTTTTCACATGTATTTGCTGATTTTGTTGAGGTTATGGGAAAAGCTAACTTTCAAACGAAGCATTGCCATTTATATGTAATTCTGTAACTTAAACACGTTCTGCCTACACTTTGTACTAAGTACCAAAATAAGCCAATTTTACCTGCCCGGTTTGCAAGTGAGGGTACCACCGAGGCTCAGAGATTAAGCCATTTTTGGCAGTGCGCCTCAGCTGGCATTCCAAATATTTCTGTAAAATCTTCCCCAACAGCTTGTAGAAAGATGAACAACTTTTAGCCAGGCGTGGTGGTGCATGCCTTTAATCCCAGCACTTGAAAAGGCAGAGGAAGGCGGATCTCTGTGAGTTCAAGGCCAGCTGAGGCTGCAGGGAGACCCTGTTTCAAAAAAAAAAAAAATTTTTTTTTTTTTTTAAAGAATCAATATTACTGTGTGCAGATCACTGTGAGTTTGAGGCCAGCCTGGTCTACATAATGAGTTCCAGGCCAGCTGAAGCTACAGGAAAGACCCTGTCTCAAAAAAAAATAATAATAATAACTTTTATTTTAAAAATTGTTTTAAAAACAAATGGTAGTTCTTTAAAAACACACATGAAAATACTGATGTAAAATACCTACAAAGTTCTTAGCATGTGTGATGATGCCCTTGAGTTTGATCCCATCCCCCACCTGACATACACCCAGCAAGCAGGGCAATTTTTTTTTTTTTAAATGTAAAGTCTACTAAGCCAAAGCTTCAGAAAAACATTATTTTTCAAAACCAAAGTTATCCACAACAACTGAAACAAATAAGACAGGTTTAACTGTGTTTCTTAATTGTAGAGTAATTGATATATATGCAAAAGTCAAAAAAATAGATATAAAGAAATAGCGTTACAGTGTTAAAATCTGTGGAGACTAGCTTTTATTTTAAAGCAATGACATAGAGCTACATCAAGTAAATAACCTGGTTATATAGATAAGAACAAAGGCATTATATAAGACAAGGAGACATTTTATATTCTGCCAGCCAGCAGTGTGACCTTGGAAAAGTTCATTCATTTTCCAAAGCGTCATTTTTAAAATATGTAGATGGCTATTACCCACTTCAAACAACAGTCATTATTTGCTCAGCATCCCTTTCTGGGTACCTGTTTTTCTCCTATCAGATAGTCATAGCTTGGCTTATAAGTCCTCCTCTAAGGATTTTCCAATGAGAGGTAGTAGAAATGTTGTTGCTTAGACTTTGTGATGTTTCATTGGAATGCCATGAGATTGTGGTTACTAGTGGCCATCTCATCCAGCAGCTGGGAGGAGAAAGTGAAAGCAACAAGAGAGAAGACAACTGAACAACAAACCAGAGAATTCATAACATCATTTGAGTCCCTAGATTCAGCCATAGATGAAAGAAATACTTTCATGACTTTTTTATTATCATTATTTTTTTATGTGTATGTATGTATGTCCTGCAATGCCCACAGAGGTCAGAAGAGGGCTTCGGATCCCCTGGAACTGGAGTTACTGGCCATTATTCACTGCCATGTAGGTGCTGGGAACTGAACCTGGGGCCTTTGAAAGAGAAGTCAGTGCTCTTAACCACTGAGCCAGCCCCTTTTCATGACTTTTAATTAGCTGAGGTAAAATATTACTTTGGGGTGGGGTTACTGAACCTACCTTGAACCATTTTAAAAAATCGTTTATACCTGAGTTTTGACTCTACTGCTTACTTCATAGAATCATGTTGTACAGTTAGTGAAATATAAAACAAAAAGAATAAGATATTACTAAGGTAAAAGAAGGGAGCATGTTGACTTTCCAAGTGCCATTTTATCCTATGAACTAAATTATCTGCTCAGCATAGAAAAAAAAAAAGAAGCCATGCTTGTTAATTATTGGAAGTCTTTAAAAATATATGCAATATATATTACCAGGCTGTTGTTTTCTTTTTAAGGCAGCCTCTTGCCATGTTATTCCAGGCTGGCTCAAACTTGTAGTCTTCCTATGTCAGCCACCCTAGTGCTAGGGGCGCAGGCTCATAGCACTATACATGACCTCCAGTTTTTTTTAACAACCTTGAAAGTGAGTAAAATCATAAATGCAATACATACCTCTATTAGTCCCTCATATTGTTACTGTGACAAAATACCTGACAGATGCAACTTAAGGAAGGGTTTGTTTGGGCTCATAGTTCAAGGTTACAGTCTACTGAGGTGGGATGTCATGGCAGTAGGACCTTGAAACAGCTGGTCACATTGCATGCACAGTCAGCAAGCAAAGACAGATGAATGCTGCTGTTCAGCTCCCTTTCTCCTTTTCATTCAGCTGAGAGCCCAGGCCATGGAATGGCACTGCCTATATTTAGGGTGAGTCTCCCCACCCCAGTTAACCAAATCTAGAAATTCCCTTACAGCTATGCCTAAGGGTTCATTTCCATGGTAGTTCTAAATCTTATCAAGCTGACAAGATTAACCATCACATCTTTCAAAAACCTTAGTTTTCTTGCTGAGACTTGACAATCAATGCAGAGCTCATACAGCTCCAGTTCTAAGAACTATCTTGGAAGCAATTCAAGGATTAAACAAAAGCAATGAGAAGAAAGAAGAAAATTAAATGACATGAAATTGCAAACCATCTATAACCAAAATCACACTCATCCATGAGAAAAAACCCAGTCTTTTATAGGTGATAATTCAAAATAAGCTTGTTTCATCTGTTCAACCTTATTCTCTCCACTATTGCTTCAAAAAGGGTTTTATAGCTGAAAAAATCTTTCATCAACACACAGTCAGGCTCACTGTTCGTGCTGATGTTGCCCTCATCCACACCCTAACAGTAGAGGTGGGTGAGTAGTACAGGAGAGACCGTACAGCAAAAAAATCCCAGATCATCCTCAGCTGGCCCTTTCACAACTTCAAAGCTTTTAGAACTTTATCAGCCCCATATTAGAGGAAAAAACTTAGTAGTATAGTTGGTTGAAGTATTTCTAATTTGCACTTAAAGCTATACAAAGTTTCAAAGAAGTAAAGGGATATTTCTTCATGGAATTCTGTAAAGGTACATGACCTTCATGTCATGAATTTGGGTTGCTTGCTTCTGATGGTTAATAATGATGTTTAGACTCTGGGCTGAAAATGGATGATTCCAGTTTTGTAGAAGACACTCTTATTTGGACTCTTTCTTACAAAGTAGAAAAAGGAGATGCCTTAAAATTAGGAGGGAAATGAGCTTTCCTGAGACTAAGAAAATGGTTGGAAAGAATGTGGCTAAGGGATTTGTGAGAGTGCTAAAAGTCCCCATCTCCTGGTGCTCACTGGCCTCAGAAGCAGTAGTTCAAAATCTCTGCACTTCAAATGGATTTAGACTATGCTGAGTTAATTAGTACATTTCGATCATCCTGCAGTCTACATTCCACTGAAAGTAAAAGCTCTACCAATTTATTCATTTATTTATATCAGCGTAGGATCGTGGCTTCCTATCTTATATAGAATATTATATTTTATTATCTTAATTATTTTAGTGTTCACACTGCTCAGTTTTGGCCAATGAGTGTTCCTTTAAGCAAATACTCAACTTATTACACCACCCTGACCTCCCCAAAGTCTTTGACTGCTTCTTATTTTCTAGTATAACCAAGCATTCTAGACTCATCTTAGAGCTATGCTTTCCCAATTCTAGAATTAATCATTCCTCTGGGGAACCCTGCTTTCTTATAGTTAAGAATGATATTTAGAAATCAAGGCACCAAGGCTAAACTTCTCTGCCCTAATAGCAGGGGCCCAGACTTAGACTGCCTGAGAGTGCTGGATTTGGCCTTCACATGGTGTAGGGGCCCAGACCTTAGCAGACTGCCTGAAAATGCCTGGATCTGGCCTCGCATAGTGGTGAGCATCCCCAAATCTCGCCATGCCCAAACCCCTACATGAGACCATGTGTGGCTCCTCCCACTCTGCCCTACAGTAAGGGCCCAGTCCTTAGCAGACTGCACGAGAGTGGCTGCATACAGCTTTTGCATGGTGGTGAGCTTCTCCAAAGCACTCGGTGCCCATCCCCCTACATTGGGACCACCATCCCAAGTCTAGGATTCTCTTCCCTTCCCGGGGGCGGGGGCAGACCTTTGCAGACTCCCTGAGAGTGCCTTCCCCTTAGTGAGCTTCTCAAATTGTGCTGTGTCGGCCCACTAATAGGGACCCAGATCTTAGAAGGAAACCTGAGAGTACCTGACTGGAGCCTGACTTGGGCCTCTGCCAAAGCACCTGAGTAGCTGGACTGAAGCTATCTGTTCCCTACAATATAAAATCCGAGAGAACCCGAAGCCTAGACCAACCAGCTTTACATACTCAATAAAATAAAATTTAAAAAAATCCAAGGTGGGTTGAAGAGGTGGCACAACAGTTAAGAGCACTGGCTGCTCTTGCAGAAGACTTGGGTTTGAATCCCAGCACCCACGTGGAGGTTAACAATCATCTGTAACTCCACTTCGCAGGCACTGCATGACATGGGTGTTCTTACACACGTGTAAACATAGCACTCATACACATAAAAAAAAAAATGAAAAAGAAAACGCCCAAGGCACACCAATAATACAATCCCAGATGGATTTACAGCAGAATTCTACCAGACATTTAAAGAAGATCTACAACCAATACTATTTAAATCATTCAAAAAGACAGAAGCAGAGGGAGAACTCTCAAATTCATTCTTCAAAGCTAACATCACTCTATTGCCAAAACCAGGTAAAGACACAACCAAAAAAAACTATAGACCGATATCCTTAATGAACATAGATGCAAAAATCCTCAACAAAATACTTGCAAACCACATACAGACAC